CACGTAGGTCTCCTCAATGCATGGCCCAGTGCACCCTGCTCAAACTGAACGAGGCTCATCTCCGTGACGTCCAATATCTCCTTCATGAAACCAGTGCGCCACACTGAAACACAAGCATCACTTTGAGCGCCTTCTGGTAGATATGCTCTTGGATCTTCTGGAAACTCCATGCAAAACCCCACCTTATGTCCCAACGTCTCCGACTCCTCCTGCGCTGCTTCTGCATACAACCAGAGCCACACCATCTTGAACATCATGAGGTTCTCGTTTTTGACCTTCATGGCATCTTCCGGCCTTGTGCCCTCCCGCATTCCCCATGGTTCCAACACCGACCGAACAGCCTTTGGTCCTGACTGCTCGTCTTGGCGATATCGGAGAGGAGAATATGTTCCCGCCGGAGGCGCACCGAAGACATGCTTTATGCGTCCCTCCTTGGCCGCCCATAGAAGGACACCGTAGACCTTCTCATCATTAAGGTTCCACCCCTTCTGACTGTCGATCTCCAACAGGCCTGGAAGGTCTCGAAGAGGATCATTTCGAACTCCTTTGCCACTGAACAAGTGCACTGTCCAGCTTGAAGCCTGCCACAGCTGCCTTCTCCTTGAACGGTTCAAAGGGAAAGCTTTCATCCACTTCCATGCCTCTGCATCCGTTTTTGGAACCTCGACCATCACCTTCAGCTGCTCGGTCATTGGAACATGGTTCATGAACGGCGCCGCCAGAACCGCCTTCATGCCATCCTCAAGGCTTCCTGTAGCAAGGTAGTCACGCACGGCATCCTTCCAGCTGTGCTCCCGGTGGGCTCTTGATGCACTGATGGAAGCCTTCAACTGCGCAAGCGACTCCATAGTTTCTGTGAGCCTCGCCTCTTCTAGCTCTGCTATCAACCTCAACGCATCGCATTGAGTGATCTCAGGACACGTCGACTTGGTATAGACCTTCACCTCCTTCTTGGTTGGGTGTCTCAGTCTACAGCCTCTCTTGTCCCATGCGAACTCGTACCCCAAGGCCTTGACCAAAGTCCCAAGCGGGACGATTGGTTGTGTCCCCTGCTCACCAAGGATTGTCCCTGCACGCGTCTGCTCCATCTTCACCTTGGTCTCTCCTGCGAGGGTAACATTCACACTTCCACGAGCCTCGGCTTGATCTTCAGACGTCTTCGGCCTCAGAGGGTGGGTGGCTCCAGAGTCTAGAAGACCCATCCTGCATATCCTTTTCAATGACTCATTCTGCTGACAAAGCTCCCTCAAGGCAGGCATTTGTGGTTCAACATCACGTTGCGCCTCCTCCACCCTCAAGGTCTTCATCACCGGCGTCTTCTGCTCCACGAATGCCTTCATGAGCTTCTGAGCGTCCTCGATGAGCTGCTCCACTGGTACTCCTTGAAGCGCAGCCTCACCTGTACTTGTAGTACTCGCTGGAGTTTCTGCATCATCACTCGCCCCAGGACTGACTGTGGTCTCCCCACCTCCCGTAGGCTGTACGCGCTGAGCACCTCTTTTCCTTCCATTTGTTCCACCTGTAGACGACTGTGGCGAGTCATTGGCCGACAGTGCTCTTTGTTGTGGCTTCTCTTTCCTGGTAGGGCACGACGAAACCATATGTCCCTTCCCCCCGCACTCGAAGCATCGGTCCTTTGCCTCCGACTTACTCAGCTTGGGATGCTCGAACTTGCACGACTTGCCTCTCCTGCACCCCTCGTCTGAAGAGAAGAAACGACACGGCTTTGCTGTCCCGCTCTTTGGACTTGTAGTTGGCATCTGTAGCGACCCTTGCGCCGCCTCCACCGCCTTTATCCTTGGACCTTGTGCGCCGGTGTCCTCCTTTGACTTACGCCTGTATCCAAGCTGTTCAAACTCTGCCAGGTAGGCGCGGTGGATGGCCATCACGTTGGTCTCTGTGGGCGCAAAGTCGACGCGGAGGTGGTACCTTATCAAGTTCATGCGGAACGAGATATCGCTGTGCTCACTCAGTGGTCGTTTCACCATAGCCTCCAGTGACTTCAGCAGTATGCTTGGATCTGGCGTTGCTAATCCCAAGTCCTTTGCCCTCTGGTAGAACCGGTACCATTGGCGAAGGCCAGCGATGGCATCGTGCACCGTGGCTGCAGCTTCTGGAAACTCAACCTTTTTGAGCAACATCGACTTCTCTGTTGTACTACCCGGCCTGTAGACGATCATAAGTCTCGCCAGGATCTCCAGTGTTGTCTTTGCCCGTGCTGCTACCAGGTCTTTGCGAACTTCTTCAGGGACTGCAGACAGTAGCACACTTGCTCCTCTCCGATCCACTCTTGACCACTTTGCATCTGCTGTTTCCAAGCTTGCCACCGGCTTCAGCGCCAAGCGACCAAACTGGTCCTGCTCTTGATATTTCTTGTAGTAGTCCGCAGCGTCCTCCACAACACTACGCCACCATTCCGTACTATTGGCACTGAGATCTCCCATGACGTTCTCAATGCAGTGCAACCAATCTCCGAAGTCCACTGGGCTTGTCTCCGTTGCCTCGGGAAGCTTGGGAACTTCTTGAGTCGACTTCGAGACTTCCTCCGGTCGGTTGCCCTTGATAACCTTCTCAAGGCCTGCGATGAGGCGATCCATAGGATCACCCCCATTTCCCTGAGTCGGAGCACCACTCCCAGTCATTGCGCCAGACGCTGACACCCCTGGTTGTGCTGAGGTATCCAGCTTCGGTATCGTACAGCCGGCTCAAGATCATGGAAGCAGGCAGTACTGCTGTGTGTTCAAGCGTTATCACTGCAAATCAGCTGGGTACTAGCTTGGTGTAGATCGATGTCCTCATAATAATGCAATGCGCGCTTCGACTGCATGAACAGAGCTACAGCGCGAAGCCCGCAACTGAGTTGTTGAATTCGAAGGTGTAGTCGCAATACTAAAAACAGAGAAAATGTAGATTTGTTTGGGCTTCAGGTCGAATCGAGGCTCTGCGAATATCTGATGACCGTTCCCCGTCACCTTCGAAGCGAAGGGTGCTTGCAGGCTATATCTCTGTCTGATATCATGCGGGCAGTACCATGCATTCCGCATGCACGTGTGTAATCGAATACATCGCAGCATTTAAAGCTTTGATTTTGGAGCACGGCCAACCCAGTGTTGCGCCGGCGGCCCCGGACACTCGACTCGCAATATATATTGCCAGGTCGTGCTAGTTAATATAGGATACGCTAGCTGGCTCAGGACGTCATGCCGACAACGCTTGCAGACAGGGAGCAACAGTACTTGCTTGAAGAGTCTAGTCGGCAAGTACTCGTACATCCGTCTCTCAACATCTTTTCTTCTCGAGCTATATTAAGGACTACTTGAATGCCTGGCTTACGGAGAATCCGGAGACGTTGCCGGGTATTCGTTCGAGCAAGGCAGCTTGAATCCAAATTAATGTTAAGCTTGCTTCCCATTATGTAAGTCTCGGGTCAAGCCAAGGCCAAAAATTTGTTCAAGGTTCCTGATGAAGGACCTGACAGTGTGGCCATGGTGTTCTGGCGGATATATTATGATCGTGTAGCACACATTAATATTTCTTCCTAGCTGGTTTCTTAGGTTGAGCGCCACTTTTCCTTCCTTGCTGGGTACATCGCGACTTGCCAAGCTCGTGTTCCGAAGTTTAGAACACACAAGGCCTCCAGATTATATTTGCATGTTTGTTTCGGTTAAGTTTGGTTATTTATTTTTGAATGCGGCGCAGGTGGTGCTCCAGATCCTGTGCCAACGGTACGCCTTGTTTGCTACGGGAACGAAGCGCAAGGTGATCAAGGACATAAGCATCGCATATATATATATATATGGTACATATTTGTACAAGTACTAGTAGTACTAGTGCTTCTAGTACTGATCGAAGGACTGGGCCTGCACAGAGGCCGCCACTATGAGGCCTGTGGCAATCCATGCACTCCTTTTGACCCGGCGCTCAAATGGTAGTCGGCAGCTACGCTGCAGTTAACGAAGTTAGCAGTATAATGCTCGATATATATATATATATATAATATACTCGGCTCAGCCCGGCTCAGGCGTCCCCAAGTGGGTATGATCAAGGAGATCGTGCGTGCTTGTTTCGATGGACCGGGTGGAGGCCAGGAGGGAGTGCCTGAAATATGTAGATTACAATTCTGGAGACACTTGCTTTTATTTTTGCATCGAGCTCAGAGCCTGATCGATATAGCTAGCGCTTAGGGCTTAGAGAGTAAGGGGAGACATTAGGGTCTCGGGGCCAGGGGTTTGGGAATTGGAAAAGTAATGGGGATATAAGTAAGGATACTGGTTCTTTTAAGATCAGGATTTCAAGGCGGGTTTCGGGTCTCCGGTACCGGCTTCAAAGTTTCGGAAGCTTCGGATAAGGACTTATCTCAAGGTGATCACAAGGGCTGAGAGAGGCTGCAGGGCTCCTTCAGATTTTGTGTTAAATCTTCCCACCCCTACCTAACTTTAAATATGCCCAGAATTATGCCCTAAACCCTAAACGGCCACACCGTAACCCCTCAGGCGGCGATGTGGACCAGGTCATCGAAGAGAGCCTGAACGAGGCCATGCAGCAGGCACCGTGGCGAGAGCTGGATTGAATTCGGGAAGTTGCCATGCCTATTATATATATATATATAATATTTATATATATAGCTGCAGGATCCGAACTCCCCGAGCAGTTCCTTGCCGGCTTCGGAAACCGATATGGATGTGGATATGGTGGGAGATAGCGATGCACCCGAGGACACAGCTAGCTAAGCAGCTAGATGTTGCGATGCCTGTTTGGGACGGAGAGATGGTATCGATCCCCGACCCCCAAAATAGCTAGTTCATGCTCTTACTTGCGAAGCAAAGCCTTGATTGATCTCAACCTCTACCGAAACCTTTGCAAGCTGTAAAATGCCCTGCACTACAGGAGAACCCCACGACGACTGCAGAAGCTGGAGCAAAGGAACCTCAGCATCAGCTATAAAGCCTTCCCTTAACATATAACAAATATTAGCTGCTGAGGTGATCGACCCCTCGCAGATGGAGACGCAGCCGCTCTTTTGGGAAATGCCAGCAGAGCCCAAGCTTAAGAGCCAGAATAACAGGCAAGCAGACAAGGCCAGCCCGGTCTCGAGAGTATATCTAAAACTAGCCCGAGAAATTACACTAATTTATGCTCGCATCGTGCAGGCTATGCGGCCTCCTATCGAAGCTGTGAAGCCCGAGCTCCCCAGCGATTTGCTCCCCGGCCTCACAGAGCAGATCGCGATCAACCTGTCGGAACCGGCGGTTGACCTGGTCCAGGCTCAGCGCCAGGTGCCCCGTATGCTGTTGGTGCTTACTAGTTCGTATATGCTACACGCAGCTCGAAAGTGCTAATTCAGCAGGTGAGAGAGAAGGCGAGGATCGAAGCAGCAGCCAAAGTGGTTGCACAGCCGACGAGGGGCCGAGGTCGGGGACGTGGCCGTGGCCGTAAGCAGAACGAAGAGACCCCGAAAGGCAAGGAGCAGGAGCCGGACACCGAGCAGGAAAAACCCAAGAAGCAGGAGCCGGACACCGAGCAGAAAAAGCCCAAGAAGCAGGAGCCGGACACCAAGCAGGAAAAACCCAAGAAGCAGGAGCCGGACACCAAGCAGAAAAAGCCCGAGAAGCAGGAGCCGGACACCGAGCAGGAAAAACCCGAGGAGCAGGAGGGACACCGAGCAGGAAAAAACCGAGGAGCAGGAGCCAAACGGGAACCAAAGGACGGTGAAAAAGGCACCCAAAGCCAAGTCCACCCCGGAAGTCAAACCATGGGCAGCGGATTGGGAGCGCAAGGCCAGGCTCCTAGAGTCTTTTTGCTTTGCAGACAGCAACAAAGCTTATAATGAAGTTCCTCAGCTAGCTTGCAGGCAGTGGAGTTGCTTCAGGCCGGCATACCGGTCCCCCCAAAGTTTTGTGGACAGACCAAAAGCTTTACGATTCAGCCGAGCCATGCCCCCGAGCCCACGGATCCGGAAGTTGCAGGCATTCAGGTTCTGCGTCTTGGCTCGTACTAAGCTCGAATTAATTAAAAGATTAAGGATTTTGGGATTTTCCAGGCTTTGGGGTTTACTGTCCCCCGGGAATAAATAGTTCGGACTGATCTAACTGTGATATTTAAGGGAACTTTGATGGGAATGGCAGGCTAGGCTGATTGATTCTGTACGTTGTTTTACAAGCCAAGTAATATTGCCTTGTCGAGATCGGTGCTGCAATATAAGGTGGTACGAGAATCAGCTGTACGTGCTCAAATCAATGATATCCTACAATGGCACCAAGATCAACCAGAAGAAAGGGAGCACGGTTTCGCAGCGCAAACTCGGTGGCTGGAAGAATGCTTGGGAACATGCCAAAATCGTTGCAGGTTGGATGCCGGCATCTCGACTACATCTAGCTAGAATGACTGAAGAATGTCGATGCTAGATTGGGTTATGGAGGTTTAGGGATATCTTTACTATATGAATGTAGCTTAAGGGTTCGGCGACCTGCGGGCCCAGGCCTTTCATTAATATTCTACAAGCCTTTGATGAATCTTTTATATAGCTATAATATATGATATCTATTTTACATATATATATATACAGATATAATATAATAATATATGTATAATAATAGATAATCTAATACAGCATCATACTACAATACAAACAGATAGATCGTACTACAGGACGATGTAGTGATTGATAGATTAGAGCTGGGTAGCTCGTGCATGTTTTTTTAGTTACGCAAGGCATAAACAGAATCGGATATGAACTGAAGCCCCATCCGAGACTTCAAGCATCCAACTTCAACGAGTTCCTGAGCAGGTTCCTCAGCCCCTCAATTTGAAAAAGGCCCTTAATCTTTAAGCCCTAAACCGAAACCCGAAAGCCCTGAACACCTTAAAACATTCTAAAGCAACCTTGCAGCTGCTAAGCCCCAAACACCACAAAGCCCGATCCCCAAGAACTTGCTCTAAAGTCTAGCACAACATTGAACACAAAAGTCCTTTCAAACTCTGTTGCTTTAGCCCGTGCAAGTTCTAAAGCCTTAAACACCAAACCTCCGGAGAGAACACCCTCCTTTCCTGAAATTCCCAAACCCAAACCCGAACCCTATAGATTTAAGGCCTTTCAGTCTGAAGCTCGAGCCCCCACCCACACAGTAAATTCTCAGGTGCCAAAGGCCTGAACATGGCACCATCCCGAAGGGCCCGGCAGGACAAAGTGGGAGGTTGTTTGGGTTACGTCTACATGTACATACACACCCACACATATATATATATATATATACACACACATCTATATATATATATACATACACACACACACACACATAGCATACATGTGTAAATATTCACATACATACATACATACATACATACATACATACATACATACATACATATACATACATGCATACATACATACATGCATATATATATATATATATATGCATACTTATATACTTACATAAATAGCTCACATATATACATATATATATATATATAAATAGATACACATATAATACCAGTGTACCGACATACAAACAGATACACACACACACACCTATCTATGTGTGCGTGCATGTTTCTGAGTATCCCATGCATATTACGCACATATATATATATATATATATATATATATATATGTGTGTGTGTTTATATGAATGAACAACTACTACGGTGTCGAATTTAAGTACAATGCATACTGAAGAAATAATGCATGTGGGTATATATTCATATATACAGACATAGATAGCCCCTGGTATATAGTTTCTGGGTATTAGTGTGTGTTAGGCTACATACATCCTAGCTAGTTCCGGAATCCAGGACCGATGATGCTTGGCCCCATCGCTGATTTTGAGGTGTCTCTGCCGGGCCCTGACCGCTACATGTTGCTGCGAGAACTGCTCCTTATTGACGATATCTTCAGCATCAGGCTTGCAAACAACAGGAACAGAAGCTTAAGGGCCGGTTAATGCATGTGCACATACACATATCTTGGTTCCCTTCCTGGCTGACCTTCTAGGGTGTATCGTCCTTCTAGCCATAGCCATGGCTGGACATTTCTTTGTGTCTGCAAGCACTGCAGCACTGATGCTTTCGATTGGAGTTCCGGCAATAATGAAACTCGGCTGGGCAACAATATAAGATGTGTTTATCAGTGGCCCATGCGCTATTGTATACATCAGCTACGGGTTTTCAGCCGAGGATTCATGTCATCGATTACTTGACACAGCTGAACCTGACCCGGAGCCCCGACGACCCTCTATTTTGGCGACGTGCACCTTGCTTGTCCTAATAATAATAGTACTCGTTACTAGAACCACCATCTCAAGCTTCAAGCTGAATAGTACTGAGGACATCCAGGTGCTGGAAATGTTCTCTGGCAAAGGCTGCCTAACCAAAGCATGCAGACCCTTGGTTGCATGCTCATCCAGTAGTGCCATGGCCTCCCCGTTTGAGCTTCCAGGCCCCATCCAATAATCCTGCTGGGACTTGAGGAGATGCTGGTATACGAGTCCAGAACTTCGAGATTTTGATCCGGGGGGACCGCAACGACTTGTTATCTACGGCGGGTTTCCTCACTGCAGTTCGAGATTGCTGCCGTATTCAGGAAGGTGGTCTACTTTGGGCAGGTGTCCCTTGTTCGACGAGCTCTGGCGAGCAACAGTCATATATTGTTGTGCGTGTGTGTATGTGCGCAGACATGCCCTATTCACGCAATGCACGGGTATACTTGTACATGTTGCCGTTGGTGCTGTCCATCTAAGTTGGGTCTGGATTAGTTCGGCTGCCACGGGCCGACGAATGGCGATCGAGGGAAATGGTGCTAAATGTACCCTGGAAGCCAACCGACTCGTCGCCCGTTTCGCCATACTGGCCTTGATCTGCACAGCTCTGAATATATTCTGGGCAGTGCCTAGGCAATATTTAGAACGCACGGAATCACAGACCTCTCCCGACACCCAAAAACGTGTAGCCGACGTCATCAGGTAGAGCAGCCTGGGTCATCATTGTTGAGCACATTCCCGGCGATGACGCACATCTGCAGCCTTGGGGGGGCTCTTTCGAGCTTCTTTCAAAAGTTGTGCCCGGACGAATTCAGTAGCCTGTGTGCATCTTCAGCCCTCAAACTTATAAGAATGGGTCTGGGTTGGGGCTTCGGTGCAGGCCGAAGGGTTGCCTTCAGGTTTCGGTTTGAGGTTTAGAGTTCAGTGCTGGCTGAGGAGGGAGTTGAGGGTTCAAGATTCAGGGCCCGATCACACATCTAGAGGTACCGGCTATCATTTGAAAAGATAAACTACCATCGGCCTTATCTCATATTGCTGAATAATCAAGCCCTGAGTTGCCTCAGTTCAACCCAAGCATCATTTTAGACAACATTGCAGTTATCCAACTGATCCCTAAAACCATAGCTATATATACAATTAAGTCTTTAAAACTTGCAGCATACCCCAAGCCCTCGCCCCCACCCCTTCAAGTTCACTAAGTTGGATGGGTCACTACGGCCAGTTCTGTCCGAAGCTGACGCAGCTCTTTGGGACGTGGTGGCTTGAATTATCTGGCTAGACGACTCTAGTAAACTAGTACTCGCGAGCTTCAAATTTACTGTACTGCCCAGGGTGAAGTTGCGACCTCGATGAGTCCCTCGCCTGCTGACGAGTCTGTAGAACTAGTACTTTATTTATATAATAATACTTAAGGCTATATCCCCCAACCCATTAAAGACACTGGCGATCAAAAGCCCGTGCAGCTCAATCCTAATATCCTATAACCCCGAGTGCTGGTGTGAACCAGCAGGCATAGAAG